TTTATTTCAAAACCCCCTTCCCCTCCCCCTTTTCTGATGAAGGGTCTCGGCCCGAAACGTCAGCCTCTCTGCTCCTATGATGCTGCTTGGCCTGCTGTGTTCATCCAGCCCTGCACCTTGTTGACCAGGTAAGCACAGACCGTTTTAAAATTGTTCGGCAGACAATGGATAAATGAAGTGAACAAAAATTGACTTGGCCAGGAATGTTGAATGTTAGCACAATGCTGGCTCTATGTGGTACATTATCCTGAATCAGGAGCACGTTATTGGAATCATGGTTAATGAAGCAACATGTTGTTCTCCCCTACTTTATCAACATTTTCCCATCCTCTTCTGAAGCTGATACTCTTGGGACAGGACCCTCTGGGTCTTGGGTGGTTTCTACTACTTCACCCAAGTTAAAAAGGAAACCCTCACACGTGGCTGCACACTGGTGGGAAGCTCATTGGCTGATGATGGATGCATTGCTTCTGTTCTCAATATTGTACTTACCAGCTCATACACTTGTAATTCCCAGTAAGGATCACTGGTAACAGCTTAAAATTACCTCAGGCCACAAATATAGAAAATTGGCCTAGGCTTGCAGAAGCCAAATGATTAAAAAAGGACAAACAACAACTTGATTTTAAGGAGAAACTTAAAGGGAGTTGACCAGACATGAAATTTACGGAGGGAGTTCTCAGTGTAACACTTTAGCAAGTGTTCCCTGGATCTTATGAGACAGACGGCCAAAGAATACAGACATCAGAGTTAAAGAGTGGCGAGTTTGGGCAGGGGAATACAGGACTGTAGGTAGTTAAGCGATAAGACAATTATGGATGTGGTCAGAGATGGTTTAAGTATACTATTGGACTGGAGGCATTGGGAAATTAGGAGGATGGTGAGCAGGAGTGATGAATGATCAGTACTTAGTGTGGTATAGGATAATGCGAAGCAGAGTTTTGCGTGAGCTAAAACTAATAAATGATGGAGAGTAGAACGTTAGCCAGAAGGGCACGTTGGAATGGCTGATCTCAAAAGGAGGAGACAAAGAATTAATGATTTTTAGATTGCATCTAGCTAAGCCCAGAGGGTATCTGAGGATGCTTTGCAGCTTAAGTAGTTTTTGAAAGTGTTGTAATGAAAGGTGGTGTTAGCTAATTTGCTTACAAGATCCCATAAACCTTTAAAATAATGTTCTAAGTAAAATCGCCATTATCCTACGAGATCGTAGGGCTGCTCTCTGATTCCAGAGAAATGACTGGTGGTGGTTTAACTTGAGGTCACCACGCCTCATGCAAGATGGAGGTTGAGGAGAGGCTTTCATGGTAACCTCAGTCAGCGCAGGGGTTGAATCCATATGGTTGGTGTCACGCTGCTTTGTTAACCAGCTGAGTTAATATTGTAAGTAATGGTGCAGTGTTCCCTTAATAATGTACTTGTCAGCCCAGATTAGGTGAACAAACCTCCATGGTGAGACTTGATCTACTGTTCCTCTGACTCTGGTAGGAGCCGCACCAATAAATCAAGGTCAAAATCCTCTGCTGATCACAAAACTCGAGGATTAAGTGGATTTCTCCCCACAAATCCAAAATTACAGAAAGCTATTCTAATGTTGCTTCCACCTGAGCATTATTAGTTGAGACTGGCTCAGTCAATCCAGATATGGTCTTCAATCTGTTCTCAGCTCAGCTGCCAGTCACTAACTTAATTCAGGGATCTAGCTTTGTAAGACATCTATTCAACTAAAGAGTTTATTATTGGCATTTTGCCTAGAAAACTCTTCTAGGTGTTAGTGGGCAGCAGCAGATTCTGGAACATCAATACGACACATCCTTGCTACAACCTGATCTGTATGATCCTCCATTAAACTGAAAGGCAGCATGTGCTATGAGTGGGACTTGATGTAAGATTAGACATTAGTGACATAATTTTGGATGAACTGGGGGCTTCCCACAGCATTAAATGCTGACAATGAAATCTTCATTCAAAAAAATGAAGGTAGCATTGGCAGGTGTGTACACTGAAGCAGGAAAGAAGTGTCAGATTTGTAAAAATTGGAAAAGGCTTTCTTTGTGATGGAGATGACAAAGGCTTGAAAGCTTAGCATAACCACATTACTGATGGCACACCTTCAATTACATAGGTTCTAAAAATCTGGAAATTCCTCCTTCTATAGCTATGCATTCCCACTTTTATAAAGCTTCTTAAAAACATTCATTAAACTAACTTTGCCTTCACCGCTATTAATCCCAGTGTTCATTCAGCATCTGTAATGCTGTTCTCTGCCTTTTTAAAAGGCAAGAAATGCATGCAAGTCATTGTCAATATTGAAGCAAACTGTTTTCACTGGTTCAGTATTTTCCATGCGTAGTTAACAGACCAAAAAAATGTGGGGATGTCAGTTATGTACCTGTAAAAGCCAATCCTATGCTGGAGCAGGATATCACCAAGTGGCAGCATCTAATTAAGGATGGAGTCAAAAATGAAATAGTGAGGGGGACTTTAGAAGAGTATTGAAATGGAAAGAAACACCATTGTTGTTTTTGCAGAGACAGCAATAGAATCACGTGAGACTCGAAGTCTCTAATAATTAAAACATGGCAACATTAGTAATACATTGAAAAGGGATTCTCTTTTGTATCTTGCTCCTGTTTTTACTCTAACATACATTTTGATGGATGGTATTGATTCTGCATTAACTATATGTTCTGGCCACTTGGATTACGGAAATATAACAAATTGAGGGGCTCTTATAAAGACAAAATCTCAACAGCAGTGATTCATTTTAAAATGCAAGTAATTTCATGGCCATGTATTGTCAGGTTTAGACTGGCAATATAATCAAGTCAAAATTTTACTAACAGTGATATATTTAAACAAAAAATGGAAATCACAAATTACAATTTTATTTTGTAACTGAAACATATCCAAATACAAATAAATAATTGAATACACACTTTAACTGTGGTTCATACAGATATCTGCAGGAGGTCCAGAGAAAATTGCAGACTTCAATCTTGAAATTCCTACATTAAATAGTTAAGATTGCTGTACAGTTGACTGTTCAAAAGAAAAACTTTCACGAAATTTACAGTCTTACAGGTATTTACAGATAGAAATGGACCATTAAATACCAAGATTTAATGTAGGTGCCACACCAGAATTCTTAAAATAAACAGTAGTCAAATACAGAGTACAGCAAACTTTTACCATCCAGTACTTTTTTTAAATACGTATGCACCTTTTCTGTGTGCACATATTAACCCTCCTTTCCCTTCCCCACAGGCTGACATTTGAAAAGTTTTTCTAATAACCATGCACAAAATATAAACACTCAAATTTTTGACATAAAATGAACACGTTCAAATGCATCCCTGCAGAATCATACGGCATAAAAATGAGCAACTAACAATGTGTTTGTCATTACTGGATTCACTTTCAAAAACTGCTGTCATCCCCCTCTCAATGTAGCACTGTGAACATGATTACTTCTGCTGTTTAAAAATGTTCACAAATCATTTTCACAAAATCAATTTAGATGCATACCAAACACACTATTTTACTATTACACATACTGATAGTATATTTGGTGCAAACATACTAGTCAGTTCTGAAGACTAACTGATTTCTAGTAGAAAACTAACTGAATAACTCAGTATTCTTGGCAGTAAACAAGATCTGAGAACAAAAGACAATCAATAAGCAGCTGAAGAATTTGAATTTAAGCATTAATACCAATATTGTTTTACTGAAAATGTGGTTCCGAGTGTAATAGCTGTCTACACTATAAATCGGTAAACTGCAAAAGCTGGTATTAGGATTATCATGTGTACAGATCAAGGTCAGAAGCACTAAATTGATATGTTTTGAAAAACAAAAGATGCATACAACCCAAATATTTTACTAACCACTAAAAAAAACATCAAAAGAACGGCAGGTACTGTAAATCAGAAACAAAAACAGAAATTGCTGGAAAAGCTCAGCAGGTCTGGCAGCATATGTGCAGAGAAATCAGAGTTAATGCTTCAGGTCCGGTGACCCTATCAGTTCTGAGGAAGGGTCACTGGACTCGAAACATTAACTCTGATTTTGCTTCACCGATGCTGCCAGACCTGCTGAGCTTGTTTTTTTTTTTTAGCAACTTCTGTTTTTGTTTCTGATTTTACTGACTACTGTCTAATTTACATTGATAATATGCCATGTTTCAGCATGCCCATTTTAAAGCTGTAATACGCCATAGTTCTGCAATCAAAAAATAAGTTAAAAGCTTCAGGAAAAATAATCATCTTTTCTTGCTGGTGTACACAATGTTTGAATTTTCTACAACAATTCCCTAATGCCTATGGCTATTACCAATCCCAAAACCAAGGCCCAAGACGAGATGATAGTGAAGGGGCCAGAAAACAGTTCTATTTGAATACTCCAAGTAATGCAGAGACCATTTAATTCTTAACAAATTTAGACGTCTTTAGTTCCTACTTGCACAAAACAAATAGAACTCTTCGGAAACTTGGAGGCAATATTAGCTTGATCTATGATGTAAACATTTCTTAAAAATCAATGACAATCACATTGTAACAAAATGTCTGAATCTTTGTATCATGTGGATTTTTTTAAGTTTGATTGACAATGAATTTCTACACAATGCATTTCTATTGTGTTTTATGAAATTCAGACACACTAACTTGGTTAAGGTGCAAAACATCAGCCATTCTGAAATATTTCAACAGCAGTCATACACAGCAGTTTTCTGCTTATTTCTTCATTAACAATTTACGATCAATCTGCTAATAAAACAAATACAATGCACAAATATAGATAAAAACAGGCTTAAATGTTTGTGATTTATAAACTTTCTTCCATGTACGATATACCTCAGTGCTAATTAAGGTTTTCCTCAAGACCATTTTCCCTATTCTTCGATGAACACATTGACTACATGCAAGGCTATGATTCCACAAGTTCCAGATACTTATCCAAGTGGCTATAATCCATATGTGGAAATTGACAGTGAGTGTAGGCCACGAGAATAGGAATAGAGACAACATAACCAAGTTCAATTTGGTCCTTAGCTGACACTTGAACATTTCCAGCTAGAATTACTGAATAACCATCAGGGTTGCTGCTTGACTGACTTTTCATTCACAATTTAAGCATCCACATCACTATCCTGGGGAGATCAATTAACTCTTCACAGACTCTCAGTCTAGGAATTGAACTTGGGACCTCGCTGATCTTTATGAATCGGCTAATTACCTGAAAAGACAGCCATCAACGAACTTCATCAAAAGTTCCTGAAATTTCTTGGATTGAACAAGCCCTGCACAGATCAAAACATGGCTAATTTAAACATTGCACACGTGTATAATAAATAAACTATACTGTTTCCACAATCATGCGAGAACAGCACTGTATTAGAGGCTCATGACATCATGTAGTTATGTACAATTCATTTCTTTCCTAGTCCATTTGTTGAACAAAATTTAATTTATAAATAAGCACGAAAAGAAACATTACTTTTGCTTCAATTGGTTTAGTAATCCTGACCCGGATAAATGTTAATACCTTGCAATCAAACAATAGTTAGTTTCTGGTACAGGGTAACTTAAGATACTGTGATGCTTTCTTCCAATTAATTAATCCTATGGTTTTAGATTTGAAAAACATTGCATGTATTTTGGTCTCAGTTGTAATTATGCTTCGAATTCATTCCTATTTAATGGGCTGAAGTGGAGTGCAGGTATTATTTCCCTCCATACATTCGTTCAATGTCTGCTAGATAGTGGGTCTTGAGTTCCTTCCGTTTCAATTTGAAGGCATCAGTGACCAGGCCTGTTTCTGGTGTCCACGGCTCAGGACTCAGTCGAATTTTCAACGGAATTTCAAACTTCTCCAATCGTGCTGCAAATACAAAAAAAAAGTTAAAATATTAAAATAGGAATAGCATAGATTTCAATGCATTTGGCAGTTAGATAGAATCACACAAGTATTACAATTGAGAAAGAGGATCTGCTTAACCAAATTAGCCCATGTTAGTATTTGCCCTCCTTGACCAGTCACAATTTTTATGCGCCCAAATTCCTTTAATTTCTTCAGCTTCAATCACGCATCTAATCAATTCTTAAATGTTGGACCTAATAGTTCATTCTACAATCTCACAACACAGTGTGAATAATTAAAAAAAAACATTTAATCTGTCAGTTCTGTATTTTCAAAACATGTTTTCTATCAAATATGACCACCAAGCAACCAAAAAGCAAACTCTTCTTATCCTTGGGCAGTCAGACAGCTTGAGTCCAAGCCTGACCATGTTATCCTCAAAAGAATGCACTTATTCTGGGTATAGTGGAGGACAGAAGCAAAAGATTTGTTCATTTTATCTGCCACTCCTTGATCATCTATCAAATTCCCATTATCATTCACTCACACTTTACATTTTTCCTTTGTAAATACTTGTAATATCTGAAACATACATTGAGTCTCTATTGATCTATCCCTAACCTAATATGTTTACTTCAACTAGCTCAGCTTTCACGCAAATTTACCAATTTCATTTAAAAATGAAAATACCGGTCTTAGACACAATCTATTCTTTCAAACTAATGTAAATATCAGATTGTGGTTGCTGTTAACTAAGCGTACCTTTACTATGAGGCCATTAATTAATCCAGTTATATTACACAATGCCAGATTTAATACAGTTCCAGAACATGCTGCTCAAAGAAACTCTCAAAAGCATTCTATGAATTCCTCATCCAGGCTACTAATGACAATTGGATTTTCCGGTTCATATGTACATTCATCCATGAATATAGTGATCCTTTATCATAAGAACCCAATATTTCTTCTTGAATGCTTTGTCCCACATTGTGGCTAATGTTAGGGGGCTGTAGACTACCCCAACTTCTCTTTCCCCTACAATTCCTCATCTCCACCGTGAACTCCTAAACCTCATTGGGGGAGCATTTCGGGAGTAGTGCTCATAATACAATGAGTTAGCTGCTCATGGACAGGGATAAGAGCAGTCCTGACGGGATCTATTCCAGAATATTGAGGGAGGCAAGAGAACAAATTCCTGGAGCACTGACAGACATTTGTATCCTCTTTGGGCACAGGTGAGGTCCCAGAGGACTGGATAATAGCCAATGTTGTCCCGTTGTTTAAAAAGGGTAGCAGGGATAATCCTGGAAATTACAGGCCTGACAGCCTCACATTGGTGGTAGGGAAATTATTGGAAAAGATTCTCAGGGACAAGATCTACGCACATTTAGAAGCAAATGGACATAAGTGATAGGCAGCATGGTTTTGGGCGGGGGAGGTCTTGCCTCACTAACTTGATTGAGTTTTTTGAGGAGGTGACAAAGATGATTGATGAGGGAAAAGCAGTTGATGTTGTCTACATGGACTTCAGTAAAACCTTTGACAAGGTCCCTAATGGCAGACTGGTACAAAAATGTGAAGTCACATCATATCAGGGGTGAGCTTACAAGATGGATACAGAACTGGCTTAGTCATTGGAGACTGAGGGTAACGGTGGAAGGATGCTTTTCAGAATGGAGGGTTGTGATTAGTCGTGTTCCACAGGGATCAGTACTGGGACCTCTGTTGTTCGTGGTCTATATAAATGATTTGGAGGAAAATGTAGCTGGTCTAATTAGTGAGCTTGTGGATGATACAAAGATTGGTGGAGTTGCAGATAGTGAGGAGCATTGTCAGAGGATACAGCAGGACAACAGATCAGTTGGAGGCATGGGCAGAAAAATGGTAGGTGGTGTTTAATCCAGACAATTACGAGATGCATTTTGAAGGTCAAATACAAGTGGAAATTATACAGTGAATGGCAGAACCCTTAGGAGTACTGACATGCTGAGGGATCGAGTTTGCAGGTCCACAGATCACTGAAGGTGGCAGCGCAGGTAGATAGGGTAGTAAAAAGGCCTTTGGCACGTTTGCCTTCATTGGATCATGCATTGAGTACAAGGATAGACAAGTTATGCTGTAGCTTTATAGAACTTCGGTTAGGCCATACTTGAAATATTGCACAGAGTTCTGGTTCACTACACTACCAGAGGATGTGGATGCTTTGGAGAGGGTACAGAAAAGGTTTACCAGGGATGTTGCCTGGTCTGAAGGATTTTAGCTATGAAGAAAGGTTGGATAAACTGGGTTTGTTTTCACTGGAATGCAGGAGGTTGAGGGGCGACCTGATAGAAGTTTAAAAGATTGTGAATGGGATAAAGTGGATAGTATGAGCCTTTTTCTGAGGGTGGAGGGATCAATTACTAGGGGACACAGGTTCAAGGTGCAGGCAGTTTAAAAGATGTGCAAGGCAAGTTCTTCACACCAAGGATGGTGAATGCCTGGAATGTGCTGCCAGAGATGGTGGTGGAAGCAGATATAACAATAGCATTCAAGACACACCTGGTCGAATACACGAATAGGAAGGGAATAGAGGGATACCAAGCCTGTAAATGAAGACCGTTTTAATACGGAAGGGCAAAATGAGTCTGCACAGGCTTGGAGAGCCAAAGGGCCTGTTCCTGTGCTGTATCCTTCTTTGTTCTTAAACCAATGTCAGCTCTAACTAGTGCACAAATGCGAGCCTTGATAAAGAATGCTACCCTTCTTCCTTTACCTAGCTTCCTATGCTTCTTGAATGTCATATATCCTTCAATATTCAGCCAATCCTCACCATCTTGCAGCCACAAAGTGCGGATCAATTCATTTACTATGTTAAGAATGCTTTATTCTTTCAGAAGCAGAGCTTTAGTTTTGTCTTTATGTTATCTTTACAACATCTGGTCTGGATTGTTAGTATGTTCATAAGTTTTTTTTGCTCTGTCCCTTCCTCCCATTTTCAGACTCTTATTTCTCACCTTCCTCTCAGATTGTCTCGATTCTTCTGATACATCACATTTGAACCCTTTTCCCCTCAATTTAGTTTAAAACCTTCACTGTTTCCCTTGTTGTGTGGCTTATAAGAACACTGGACACAACATGGTCCAAGCATAGACCATCCCAAATGGTATGGCCTCCCACTTTCCCCAGTAGTGATACCAAGAGGCTCCTGAACCAGAAGCCACTTCTCCCACATCAACCTCTGAGCCACATATTCATCTAATTTTACAAACCTTATGCCAATTTGGTTGTGGCTCAGATAATATTCTAGAGGCTATAACTCTGAAGCTCTGCTTTTCAATTTAGTGCATAACTCATCATACCGTCTGCGTAGAATCTCCTTTCTAGTTCTACCTATATCACTGGTACCCATTTGGACCACAACAACAGGATCCTTCCTATCCCACTTGCAAGATCCTTTCCAATCCTGAGACGATGTCCTAAGCCCTTGCACAGGGCAGGCAACACAGATGTATGGCTCTTTGCTGTAGACAATGGTGTCAATGTCCCCTATTACATTCCTAGTTGCACCCCCGACTTGAATGGCTTCCTGTTTCATGGTCAGTTTGCTCATCCATCCAGCAGTGCCCACTTTCATCCAAACAGGCTGAGTGTACCTGAATCCTATTGGGCAACTACAGAGGCTGATACTCCTGTCTTCTGGGTCCCTTTACTTGCCTTACCTAGTCACACATTCTCCTGACCAGTGGCCAAATCAGAAGACTCTCAAGTGTTGTGACTGCCTCCTGACACACAGAATCTAAGTAACTTCCCATAATGCATTATAAGTTTTTTTATAAGTGTAGTTCAGCCTCAAGCTCAAATACTGGACTGAGGTTGCCTGAATTTCAAGCACTGACTGCTGACATGTTTGCACTGGATTACAATTGTATCTAAGAGCTCTCACATGCTGCAGTCTTGACATGTCACCTGACCTGGCACCCACAATGAGCTAATCAATAACTAAAACATGGTGGCTCAGTGGTTAGCACTGCTGCCTCACAGCGCCGGGGACCCTCATTTGATTGCAACCTAGGGTGACTGTCTGCGTGGAGTTTGCACATTCTCCCCGTGTCTGTGTGGGTTTCCGCCTGATGCTCCTGTTTCCTCCCACAGTCCAAAGATGTGCAAGTTAGGTGGATTGGCCATGCTAAATTGCCCATAGTGTTCAGGGATGTGTAGGTTAGGTGCATTAGCCATAGGAAATGCAGGGTTACAGGGATAGGGATGCTCTTTGGAGGATCGGTGTGGACTTTTTGGGCTGAATGGCATGTTTCCACACTATGGGGATTCTACGATTCTATTCTATGAATTGTATTCTACATTTATTTGCTGCTTTTTATGTATGTTTTATTAACTTTACCACCAATTTGAAATTAAGAATGGAAAGACCTTAATCACCACCAGAGACTCAAAACACCTAGCTTCTGTCTCTGCAGTAGTGCAAGAATCAGTTACAATGAATCTAGCTTGATCTTTAACTGCATGCCTCAGGATCCTTCTCTCACTGCTGTCTTGGGTCCTCGTCTCATCCCTTCCTCTAGCCATGTTTCATGTTTTATGGAAATACTATAACCACCTATTTTTGCAAGTTACACATGCCATTTCTCATCATTTTAATCTTTAAACTATAATAGGCTAACCCTGAGCAAATGATTAACAGCCTTTGCTGCTACAAGTTGCATCTCCCTAATCTGGCCTTCTGGTATGGCAACCTCTGTGGTCCAGCACCGTAGTACACAAGTCCTCATTATTCGCAAGGGATAACAGCATGGACTTCCCACAGACTAAAAAAATGCAAATACCTCCCTTATGTACCACAAAGGACCACTATGTTTGTTGAGGCAGACCAGATGAGACAATGGGAAAAATGAGGTCTATAATGACTTGGAGGAAGGAAGTGAATGTACTGTGCCAAATTTGCAGACAGTGCAAAGGTGGATGATAATGGAATAGTTTAGGTTAGATGGGCTTCAGATTGGTTTCACAGGTCGGCGCAACATCGAGGGCCGAAGGGCCTGTACTGTGCTGTAATGTTCTATGATCTATGGTTGACTTTGCGGACTCGTGGGTAACAAATTGTCAGATACCAAGGACTAAGTGTACTTTCAGATTCCCTAGAAATGTGATTGATGGAAGTAAAAGGTGAGGCCTTTATTTTTAATGTGTTTATGCACCGAATTCACTTGATTTCCTTTGGTCTGGTAAATTCTCCAGTCCAGCAAAACGGTCCCGATTAGGGAGAAGCAATCTGTATTAAAGGTGCCCTGATCAAACTTACTTTCACCTATACTGGTTTTGTCATTTCACTTTGCTTTTATCTTGTACATATCTATTTTCTCCTCTTTCACATTCTATAGGAAAACATCCAAGTTTTGTTTGACAGAAGTCCCTGACAATGGCAGATCATGAGGCTACTTTGTTAGGCATGACTGAAAAGGAGCACTTTTTATTTATAAGGGCCACGACAGCTGAAGCTGTGGATAGATATTTAACCAATTCAGCCATTTTTGGAATATTACCTTTATTGATCAAAGTTTATATCTGGAGCAGACACTTCAATAGAGGGGCTATTTTGTTAAAAAAGTTGAAGCTCACCTATTGCAGCAGCATCAGTAATTTCTCTCAGCACCTCTTTCTCCATTTCTGGGTGGTTACAAATGTCATTCCAGCTTCCTATTATTCCCTTCTGTTGAGCTAGAGCTAATAACTGTTTCTGATTAGGCACCACAAAACCGATGACATAAGACTGATCACTGAAAAGACAGAAACATAACCACTAATCATGGGTGGCTGATAAATCTTCAGAATAAACAAATTTTAATTAAATTCAAAAACCTGGCATTAAAAACCCCACATTATGTTCAGAAACAACTGATTGCTTACAAGAGGGGTGCATATATTTTTCAGCATTCCCATAAACGCAAATAATTTTCCAGTTGTGCGGTATAAATGGCATGTACAGAAATAAAACATCTAGGGATGGCATTCACGCTTATAAAAATTTAGATACATAGATCCGTAATTTTCTGCATCAGGGTGTGTGCCAATAGTTAAACTTGCCACTGTGTAAAAAGATATTATAAATTTTTACACAGTGGGTTGCCATTAACATCACAGCAAGACAAATCTGGTTCTGAGACAAGAGTGAATAGGGCAATGTGAAATCAGGTAAAAGAAAGAAAAATAAAGACTGGATAGGACTGTGTTATGAAGCAGTGAGAGAAGATAGACGGAAAGGAAAAATATAAAAATTAACTTAAAAATTGCAACAATTCAAAACTTAAAGGAATGTAATATCTAACTTCCAGTACCAGAAAAGTTGTGACAGTTTTCAATACTTACTATATTTTCTAAAAGAGCAATGAAGAATGAAAATGGCTTAAACTTCAGTGGTCAGTGCATATCAACTGTGTAAGTACAGCAATGTCATGCTGTTCAATACTTTCCAACAGTTGGCCAGACAATAAGATGTCATTCGTAATGAAGAGATATTTGGGACAGCAGCATTTTAATTTCTGCATTTTGTATCTGCTCTCACCTAAAATTGCTATGACTTTCACACACAAATAACTGTGTCAAATTGTTCCATTGCTTTTCTGACAACAAGTTATTACCCAACATTGGCACGGGGCAGAAATTTTTAATGGCCAAATCCGAAGGTGTTAAAGAGAGGAAAAAGTGACATACGCCTGCAATATTTCTCTTTGTACTGCCCTCTGAAAGGAACAATGAACCTGGTGAAAGTTGCCCCCCACAACAATCCCCTTCAAAACGCTTTCCAGGGCAGATAAATGAAAGAAAATCCGGAAAAAAAGCAGCTTTCATGTAAATAGCTTAGATTTACTGACTTTATCTGAACTCTAAATAATCAATGAGGAAGCAACACAGCAATCTTAGTACTTGGAGCATTTCGCTCAAAAAGGATTTTGCATAATACTTACCTGTTCGCATAGGCACAGATATTATCTATTAATGGGCTGTTCTTCAAAGCAGACTCCACCTTTCCCAGGGCAACATATTCTCCAGCCTGCAGCTTCACAAGATCTTTCTTACGATCTACAAAATATATAATTGTAGTTACTACAGCAGCTCTCGAAATAAAAATATATTTGCCAGAAAATTCATTATCCACCCTTCAACATCCAATTACCCAAATCCAAATAGAACTCTACTTTCTCTATATGACAATGTTATGAACTTGGCAACTTTTGACTGTAAAGTTTTCATTTCCTTTAAAATGTATTCTTTAAAGATATGGTTTTAATTGATGACCAAAAATTTCCAATGTGTTAAGTTTGGCATTCAATTAATAATCATGTTTGACATTTTCATATCAGCTGTTGGTACCGGACTGTATCAACGCCATACTGGTAGTGGTTTCCTCATTGGTTGGGAGTATTTTATAATCCCATAAGGAGATACTAACTCAATGATGAAAGATTTTTTAAATTTAAGTGTCATAAAGGAGGAAAATGATGTAGAGGGGTGTCGGGAGGGTTAATAAGTGAAACAAAAATATCCTAAGGCGGTCTTGACTGCAGATGTGGTGAGGTTGTTTCCTCATATGGAAGCATTTAGAATTACAGTTTTAAAAATGAGGGGTTGCCCACTAAAGAGAGATTTTGTGTTTTTCCCCCCCACCCCTCAGTCTTTGAAACTCTCTTTCTGAAAAGGTTATGGAATCAGTCCTTGAATATTTTTAAGGCAAAGTAAATAGAAACATTTCAAGAAAAGGATGAAAGATTATCAGGGTAGGCAGGAATGTGGATTTGAAGTTACAACCAGATCAACCATTATCTTATTGAATGGCTGCAGCAGGCTCAAAAGGGCTGAATGGCCTGCTACTCTTCATTCATGTTTGCAAGCCCCAGGAACCATCTAGGCAATTAAAAGAATAGCCATCAGATGTGGATCAAATATAATTAGGAAGGCAAGAGAAGACAGAATAAGAGCAATACAACTATGTCTGAGATTTTTGTGGGGCTAGAGGAGACTGCAGAGATGGGGAACACTGAGGCCACAGAGCAATTTCAAAACAAGTATGAGAATATATCTTTGTCAGGGGTACAGAACTTGCTGCAAGAGCACCACAGGTTTGGATGACCTTGTTGAGGACAGAATGAGGAAAATCAGTTAGGAGAATCAATGGTGATCCATCATCTGCTGTCTCCTCTCTTCCTGCTTGCCCAATGTGAATTGTTGGTCTGCCTTTTCCTACTTCAAGTCACCAGTGAGAAATTATGCAGCATTCAATTTGGGAAGAGTGCAATGATGTGGAACCCTGTTCTAGGGGCATATTGCAGACAATCCCTCAACTGGTCAAAATCTTCTTCAGAATCGCCATTACTTCTATAAGGATTCCAGTGGTCCTCCAGTTTGGTATGGCTGCTCAGGGGTATCATTTGCCACACTAGAAGAGGCATTCTTTCCCCAGTAACCATCTTGCCACATTCTCAGTATCAAATATTGAGGGATGTTAATTAACTTCTCATAAAATTCCATTGTGGCAGCAGTTCGTGTCAGGGCATTCCTTTCACTGACAGCTGGAAGCATACTGATATTGTATCCTTCTGGCTCATGTTCTAGTACCTTAATGGCGCCATGTACTCGGGTGCCCTGCATGCGTGGGAACCTGGACAATGCTGCAAAACTCCTACTTGATTCAACAGATCAATGAGGAAGGAAGTGCACTACTCTTCTCCAGTCAGCACAGGATCCATAACCTGCTAAATGCAGCTGTGGGCTGGCATTTCCTGTAGCAATCCACAAATCTTCAGTGGCAAAGAAATGCAGGGCTATGCTGACTTTGATGGACATTGGCAAAGCATGATTAGGATAGGTCCATTAGGTAGTAGCATCTATTTGACCAGATTCCAGAGATCTACATCTACCACTCTTCTCCTACATGTCTTCTCAGATAGGTCTAAGATTATAACACTTGGTTATTACACCAAGTGTGCTGGGTATGATCACCTACAACCAGCTCAACGTTCAACTGCTGTCGTAATGGCAGCTAACATCCAGCTGCTGCTAATGACAGTGATTATGAAGGCTTTCTTCAATCCGAAAAAGTAGCAATAATTTCACCAATCCTAAGATTAATAAGTAATTTTACAGCAGGTGCTTTAGCCAAAATATATTAAAGACTTCATTAAAATAGAGAAAGTGGAGAAGAAAAATTGCCAAGCATGTTATAAAACAAATTGCTAATCTAGTATTGTCAATTATATGCCACTACTCAAAACTTTAAAGCTCTGCTTTACATCAAGGGCTGGTGCAGACAGCAGAATATGCTTTGATCCGTTCATGATTCAGAATACCAATGAGCTAAATTGCTGCAGTAACATTGTTAACATTATCTCTATCTCTTGGCGAGCTTCTTCATTTTCAGGCCCGGGGGCTTGGGAACAGAATGGAAATGAATACATTGGAAACATTAGACGCAAAAGACTTTTTATCTTGTAATTTCCTTGGAGATGTTGGCATTGGTTACATGAGACAATTATATGATTGAAAGGAATATCCGCAAAAGGGTTGAGTCTGGCAGTCAGTCAAAAAAATGGCCTTCCTGCCTGTCATGCTACTTCTTCTTAACCCTGGTTTCATAATCTAATACTGAATTGCGAATGTCAATGGAGTTATTTAAAACAAGCCTCTTATTACTTCTAAGAATCCAAGACATAGAAGCTCTACAATGGCTTAGATTAAGTATTGATTCAGTCAGGTGAGATGATACAAAATGGAAAGTCAAGTGGATCGTGGCTCAAAAGGTGTTCAAATGCCTCCTATGCACTTTAACTTGATGCCTCATCTAAATCCTTATATGTATGAAAAAAAGAGGTACATAATATCTTTCACTGAAAAATACAATAAATAATTCTAACAATGGAGAGTATACATCTTTTTATAAAGCTATTTGTTACTAATACTACTTTATGTTAAAATGTTACGTTCATTACAGAAGTCAACTGAACTGGGAAATTAGAAAAGTAAATGGAGATTAAATCAAGTACTTTTATGTAAAATATTTGCAGCATATCCAAATTGCCCATTATGCTTTATGAGACTGTTTTAAGTAAACAGCTGCTTCCAGATGTTTGCTGACTGCTCACTGACATGAAAACAGCTCAGAAAGTTAACTAAATCCTGGAGGCAATTTTGCAGTTAAACATATGGCAATGCTTTAGTAGGAGCACTTGTAGTTCTCAGAAGGGCACAAAGATTTAATTCCTAATCAAATTTGGCATTTTTACTTGTTGACGAATGCACTTTCCCAAGATTAAACCAAGTTTCTGCCAATTACAAGAAAAATTTAAGGGCAGTCCCACACACAATATTCAAAAGACAGATACTTCTGGAAAAAAACCTTTTAAACAAAGTTTGCAATAAATTTCAGTTAATGAGTTTCTTTTACTTAAACTCATTGATACAAAAAAAAATTTACACTATTCCCATTTGATATTCACTGGAAATTTAAATGCTAAAGTTTATATACAATATCTACAAGCTCTTCAGATACTAACCAATGACTTTAAGGCATCCATCATCTTGAAATTCGCCTATATCGCCAGTACAAAACCATGCCTGTCCATCCTTATCTACAAAATAATCTTCAAGTGTTTTGGATTTGTTCTTGAAGTATCCCAGGGTAACATTTGGGCCACCAATAAGGATTTCTCCTCTAGCATGCGGCTTGTCATATACTGTATATCCACCTGGTCAGTGAAAGGAAAAAAAAATGCATAGACTTCATTCTAAACAACGCATGCAAATTACAGGCAATTTATTTTGAATTTTTAAACAATCATGTAAAATATTTTGTCTCCAAGTCTTACTGTTGTGTCAATCTTACAATACTTACCACACCTGGAAATTTATTTCATTCCATGTTAGCGAGATAACAGGAAAACTATACTAGCTCAATTTTAACCTAACACACCTACTGGGAGCTCCTGTTTTAACTCTTTCCTGTGATTCCAGTATAAAACCATTAGATTAACACTGGGGCAAGTATATTTTGCTGTTATCACAGATTAAAAGTGGCAGAACCATTTAATACAAGGAGTATATCGCTGCTGCAAACCACATCACGTGAAATAATATTAAGCACAACTAGTCTTACTTTGACTGCCATCATTTGGTCAAAACTAGGATTTTGTTTTGCAATTTAGAGTTCATTCTACGAATAAAGTCAACTCTATATCAAGGTATCCACTTAAACTTACTTCGGAGAAATATACACACAAGATTTTGCATTTTCAAAAATATCAAGGTCACTCTTTTAGCAAATCTAGTCGGGAAAATGGCAGACATGATATTTCAAAAGCAGATACATCAAACTGGCCCATGAGCAAAACTCTTCTGTTTAATTCCCTTGGTAATAGCCTACCAAAGAAGACCATTAAACATACAGAAAGATAAATCCTCGACCAAAACTATTTTATCATTCTAGCCAGCTGCACTCAATTTACATCTGGACATAGCACCAAATAATTTTCTGAAGCTGAAGTCCTAAGAATTACTAATTGTAATAAGTATTACAATTTCATTTTAAATAGAGAACTTTAATTGAAGAAAGGCTCAAAGGACATAGGCTGCAATAAACTTACCAAACATGCACAAGTTTTAAACTAAACTGATTAGTCAGATAATGTGTACATTTGGTACATCCAAGTTCAAATGATATACTTTGAGATTGGTAATCATTCTCAAAAAAGGTATTGTAGGTCAGCTTCTCTCCTTCCGGATGGTCAAATGCCCCCTTAAATGTCTTGTCCAGACCCCTGCAAACTTGGTGACATAACTCACTTATTCAATAAACCCAGCCTTGACTTCCTTAACCTAGCAAACTTCTGCTCTCACTTCAACCTCTCTTTCCTCAAATCCTTGAACGTATTATTGCCTCCAAGTCAGAGTTATAGCCAGAGGAAGAATCAACTGCAATGTGTTGCTTTTAATTCCTATATGTTACTTCTAATAGGTCCTCATGAGTCTCTTCCTGGCTCCTTTCTATTCCTTGCCTACATCTTGGTCCTTGGCAATATATACCAAAAATATATGATTCCACATGAACCGATGATACCCAGATCCACTTCTCTCACCACTTTCTCTGATTTTTCACCTTACTGGATTCTGGACAAGCAATGGATGAGTTGAATTTTTTTTCCAATTAATTGTTGAAAAGATGGAGGCCACTAAGTATAACTTAGTCCAGGTGACAGGGGTCCTGGTTGGAGAATGTATGCCAAGCCCTGGTCACCTTTCTTTGTGAGGCCAGATACTATTTTGGCCTGAGATAGCAGGAACTGCAGATGCTGGAGAATCTGAGATAACAAGGTGTAGAGCTGGATGAACACAGCAGGCCAAGCAGCATCAGAGGAGCAGGAAGGCAGACGTTTCGGGCCTAGACCCTTCTTCAGA